ACTTTTATCTCATATGATTATCATTAAAAAAATGTTACTTCTATTACCAGAAATGTTATCTAAATAAAAATGTCACAAAATATCATAACATTTTATCTGATCATCAAGATTATTTTATTTAAATTTTTGAGGTGTCACATTCTACCCTTTTTAAAAGAATGCTTCGTCCCCGAAGCATAAGCTAAATTATTTATTTTCATTTTTTTTTCAAGGTGTCACAATCTGTCCTCCTTAAAAGAATGCTTCGTCCCCGAAGCATAGACTAAGATCCAAATTTAACTGTATCAAATTACTAAGTGTTACATTCTACCCCACTTAAATAGGGTTACGTCCCCGTAACTAGAACATTACTATAATATTACCTCTTAATACCATTTGTGCACATCATCCTATCATGTCTCTCAAGTGGCGTTCTTGATTGAACGATTAACCCTTAAGGCATTTCTTTTTTTTTTTCACCGGCCATCTTGGTCACATAACTTCTATTCTCGAGTCTCTAAAATACTAAGGCATTCGTAAGGTCTCTAATTAGCTACCTTAAGCATATATAAGTCCTTCACCAAATCCATAACCAAGTCCTATCACATATAAGCATTGAAAGATGCCATCATACCCCTCACATTTCACATAAGCAAATAACTCCATGAATTTCCACAGTTCGATCATACTGATCAATTTCGTAAAAGTCTCACATCCTCACCACGTTCCTGAGAGGTCTTTTCCTAGTCATATTCTTTTCCTAGAAAAATTTGTTTTGAACAATTGTTTGGAAAACTTTTTGGAAAAATATTGTGAAAAATCCCCAGAAAATAACCTTAGGCTCTGATACCATTTGTAACACCCCGGCCCCGCAGGACCCGAGGTAGTTACTCCAGACCTCTAGTACTGTCCCCACAAACCGCCACGAGCCTTCTACGCGCACTTTGTCCTCACTCGTGCGCGCCCTGAGAAACTTCCCAGGGGGTCACCCATTCCAAGACTACTCCCATGCAAGCACGCTTAACTTTGGAGTTCTTGGGTGATGAGCTCCCTTAAAAGGAGATGCATCTTGTTGGTATGAGTAGTACTATTAATCCGTTTATATTAAATCCCAAGTGTTACACCCGTGGCACGCAAAATAAGTTGGTAAACCATGCATGAACGGGTCAGGTAGGGTCGGTTATTGAGGAAAAAATCACTCCGGGTTGCATCTTTCATGTGGAAAATTAATGTAACCAATTTAAAACTCGATTAACTTGTTTCCAAAACACACAAACAAAAACAAATACTTGTATCTTTAATAAGCAAAAACATTAGGTTATAGTATTAAAGCATCCTTCCGTAAAGGAATTTCATTTAGAAGGAAACACAAATATATAATAATCACCTAGTCAAAATGATAAATGTTTAATTATAATTATAATATTATAAAGTCCTAGATAGAGTACATTGACCTTAAATCTAAATTATCCAAGAAAACGTTGTAGCATAATAATAGTAAAAAGAACTTCGGCCGGGTCGGGTACTATCGGGTTTGAGATTTTAATTCCGCAACCCTACCCATTAGGTGCGAGTTCAAACATTTTTAACTCATGAATATTTTTAAAAATAAAAATATGAGAGATATACTTTCCTGTTGTCATGATGAAAATCCAAAATTACCATTTGGTGGAAAAACAGTTGTTTTTGGTGGAGACTTTAGACAAGTGTTGCCTGTCATTCCTAAGGGAACAAGACATGATATTGTTCATTCATCTTTGAATGCATCACATTTGTGACAGTATTGTACGGTGTTAAAGTTAACAAAAAACATGAGACTCAAGAACTTCACAAATGAATTGGCCAATCCGAGTATTTTGAAACTTTTTGCCGATTGGATACTGTAAATCGGTGATGGTGTTCTGGGAGGGAGTGATGATGGCGAAACAGAAATTGATATACTAGAAAACTTTTATGTTCCAGTAATGTCTGATCCCATTGAATCTATTGTCAACACTACTTCTCCAATTTTTTTGAAGAACAGGAACAACATCTCATATCTCGAAGGGAGAGCGATACTTGCACCGACAATTGATGAGGTAGACAGGACCAATGATTTCATGTTGCTACAGAAGAGCTTAGAGGAAAAGACCTATTTCAGTTCTGATTCAGTGTGTTCCTCTACCTCAGACAATGAGCTCCTTCAAGAAATCCATTCTCCCGAGTTCCTTAACGGAATGAAATGTTCTGGTGTTCCAAGTCACGAGTTGAAACTAAAAGTTGGTGTACCGGTGATGCTCATGAGGAATATAGATCACTCGGACGGCTTGTGTAATGGTACCCGACTTTTAGTGACAAAACTTGGTGAACATATTATTGAGGCACAGATGGTGTCTGGAACTAATGCAGGTGAGAAGTTTATTATTCCCAGGATTAGTCTAACCCCATTGGATGTGAGGCCTCCTTTCACATCTTTGCGATGACGATGAACAAGAGTCAAGGACAATCTTTAGAAAATGTGGGTGTTTTTCTGCGACGTCCTGTTTTTACGCATGGACAGTTATATGTTGCAGTTTCGAGGGTGACGAGTCCGTCTGGCTTAAAGTTCGTGATATGCGACGATGAGGGAAATCAGAAAAAAACCGCAAAATATGTTGTATACAAAGAAGTTTTCAATAATTTGTAACTTGTGTGCTTATTAAACTTCGAATATTTTTTATTGCATATTTACTGATGCTTACTCTCATTCCCTTGATAAATTATCGTAGTAATATTTAATTATATTTAAAATTGGAGTTTATAATATAAGTATTTTACACCCCGTGCAACGCAGGGCCGGCCTTGCCCCTGTGCAGCAGGTGCAGCCGCACAGGGCCTCAGTTCAATGGAGGGCCTCCAAATTTTGGTATATTAAGCCCAGTTGAGACGAAACACTGCTGAATTTTCAGAACTTCGGAAAAGGAAAATTGGGGAAGTGATGATAAGAAACATATTATTCTTACATGATTACATCTTTAGAATTTACTCGAAGCATTCTAACGACTTCGTTGTAAAACTGATCGAACGCCTTAACCATTGGCTTCTTCGATCTCTTCAAAATTTGGATTCATCAGATTTAGCCAAGGAGGCAGCGTTTGTCGAATCCAAGATGTGGTACATTGGAGATAAAATCCAATGAAAAATGTTGCAATTTCGCTTTTTCTAGATGCTTGAAGACTAGCTTGGAGATAAACTCCACTACTCGAGAGTCAAGTCACGAAATAATTGAGTTAACCTGCCATTTTTTTTCATTTTGCTACTACGTAGGATTTACATGATTCCTTATTTCTTAAAAGTTAAAATGTTTGCCCCTATTTCAGTATTTGGATAAAGTACGAACAGTTGAACACCATAAACTTTTGGGACTTTTTAATTTGTTATCTGTTGATTATTTTTCATTTTATTTTATTTTTAATTAATTAATATTATTTTAATATACTATCTCCAATCCCTTTTTAATTGGAACATTAGACTTTATGCACTATTCAATTCACATATTCTACTTTGACTATATTTTATTAATTAATATATTATAAATTAAATTTGTAAAAAATATTGTTAATCTTCTCATTTTAAATTTTCAAAATATGATTTTTTTTAAATTCTTTAAATTTTTTTTGAATGAAAGATATTAATAATCAAATGTGTGTGTTAGCAAACGTGAAATGTTGATTGTTGCAATTAAAAGGGAACAGAAGAAGTATATATGAGGGCCTTGTATTCAATTTTGCACAGGGCCTCGTGTATGTCGGGACCGGCCCTGATGCAAGGCATGGGTGGAATATTAGTAACAACAAAGAGAAATAAATATAACACTCTAGATTATTAAAAGGGAAAACTGTCAATTAGGTCATCGAACTTTCATAAAAAAATCAATTAAGTCCTTCTATAGGAGACTCTGTCCGGTCGTCGCGATTTGGGGCGGTTCCCGGTGTAATTTTTTGATGAAATTTTTTGAGCATCTTATTCATCAAGTCTAGTTTACTCATACCAAATTTTAGCTAAAAATTTAATCGGGAGTGCATTCAAATTAATTCGAGAACGTAAAAGTGTGCAGTTATCTTCAAGAATTACTTTGAATGTGTTCCCGATTGAATTTTTAGCTAAAATTTGGTATGAGTAAACTAGACTTGGTGAATAAGATGCTCAAAAACTTTCATAAAACAATTCCACCGGGAACTGCCCAAAATTGCGACGGCCGGACAGAACCTCCTATAGAAGGACTTAATTGACCTTTTTACGAAAGTTCGAGGACTTATTTGACAGTTTTCCCTTATTAAAATCATTGCAATAGAATGAATTTAAGAACATATGAAACCCATAAGTGCTTACAAACCATCACAAAGGATCCGTAATATATATATATATATATATATATATATATATATATATATATATATATATATATATATATAGAGTAATCTTCCAGTCAGGTATACCTGACCGGAACCGCCGTCCGGCCTCCTCCTTTTGGGGGCCTTCCCGGTGGTATTTTTTGCTCAAATTTTTTGTGTATGTTCCTCATCAAGTCTAGTTCATCCATACCAAATTTCATCAAAAAATTCAATCGGGAAGGTCGTCAAATGATATTTGCAAGTTCACTGGTTCGGAATATGTATTTTCCGGACCAGTTAACTTGAAAAAATCATTTGAAGACCTTCCCGGTTGAATTTTTTGCTGAAATTTGGTATGGATGAACTAGATTTGATGAGGAACATACACAAAAAATGATAAGGATTCAGGAATGTAAGGAAACAGATGCACAAATATGGAAATCAGATCAGCAATAAAAGTAATCAAAGGGTAACAACCGTTCTTGCCATTTACTTTGACCCAATGTGTTAAAGTCCATATTTGAGTTTATTGGTAGTCTAAGGGAGTGTTTGCGATTGATTAAAAAAAGTGCTTTTCAGCTTTTGGCTTAAAAAAAGTTAAAAAGAGTGTTTTCAAATGACAGCTTCTGCTTAAATTAATCACTTAAAAGCTAAAAGCTGGAAGCAGGTGGAAGGGTGCTTTAAACTGCTTTTCACTTTTTCTATTACACAAAAAGTACTTCTTTTACCAAACACTACCAACTTTTACTTTTTCAGAATCACTTTTTCCTCAAACACTACCAACTTTTACTATTAATCACTTTTCCCAAAATCACTTTAAAAAATCACTTCTTTAAAGTTGAAGCACTCCCTAAGAAACGGATGGAGGGAATTGAATTGAAGTTTGTCTACGGTTTTATTTGAAAATCCCAAACGGCGAAAATGGTCTGGATGACGGTGAGGCAGAGGAGAAAGATGGCAGCGAAGAGCGAGATGAGGGATCAAGGGGAGCCGAAGTATTTGTGCTTGACCTCGGCCAAATAAATGTGCAAATGGTTTCTGTAGTGGTTATTCACGCCAGCGTACACATCCCTCAGGTAGCTATCATCGGCACAGGTCACTGCCGCCATGGCGAGCTTGCCCACAAAGGCGGCCACCTCACTTTTCGTCTCTAAACAGTGGTCCAACACATTGGCCTCACAAAGAATGTCCACGTCCTTGTGGGTGTCTATGAGGCGGTCCAGAAGAACTGCGTACTCCGTCACGAACTTCTCTGTCGTCCCCTTGTGACACTGCTCGTACGCCACGCAATTCAGCAAGAACGAGCACATATTGTCGTCCAGCTTTAGCTGCGGCATACAGATCACTCCCCGCTTGAATTCCACCTCCAGGAAACTCCTCCTCTCATCTGTGTTCAACTTCAGCTTGATTCCCGCTCGGCGCAGTTTCGAGATGCACTGGATGTTGCTTACTTTGCGGTCGGTCCCCTGGTGCTGCTCGGATCCAGTTCCGCCCAGCAGCTTCGGGAGGCAACCGCCCACTGGGCAATAACTTTGCCGGAGTAAATTAAGTAGATGTAGGACTTCAATGTCATCGCTCCTCCCGAAAACCGCCACGGTCACTTACTTCCGGGTCGTCGTTTCTGAGGAATCTGAGGGCCATGTTGGCCAGAGAACTGGCCGGGCCATGCAGCCAGCCAGCTCTGTCTAGTTCAGTAAGTGTGAACAATCTCTGGAGCACGATGTATGGTATTTGGTTCTCGAGGCAGAGAAAGTCGTGGTGGAGAGTACAATATATCCATTCGATTGAATAAAATGGATCGCCGTACTCAAGCCAAACCACCCCGTTGAATACCCGAAACATTTCGACCACAAAGCAGCCATCAAGAACCAACATCTCTACAAACTCATCGCTTGTGAGCTTGATAGCGCCTCAGAATAGCATTTTCGGGCCTCTTCTTCCAATCCTTTGACAGCTTTGACGTACTCCTCCAAACCCACACCTGTGTTCTCTGTCCTCTTTATCAGTCCCTTCAAGAACCTCCACTTGTGCTCCTGCATCATCTTCAGACGCGGCTTCCGGTGGTGGTATGGACCGATTGAGACTGCGCGAGGCTGATACGACTGGGCGCTGATTTTCGAATTGCTGAAGAAGGCCTTGTGTGCCCGGAAAATGCAGCATTTGTTTCCGCCTGCCGATTCTGTGAGTAATTCCGGCGATCTCCCCAGCTTGCCTTGCATAGCGTTGATAAGTTTGCCTACATCGACTACTTGCACATCGTTTCTCGTGATAAGAGCTTTAGCCTCCTCATTCAAGGACTGCTCTTCTCCGGAGCTTCTCCCATCCATGTTTGTTTTGCATTGAGGCTACGTCGTCATCTATACTCCAAAGTCCAAACTATATAGTACTGGATGGTTATTTTGAAGAACCTTTTCTGTACCATAATATTGTTCTTTTGAATAGGTACCATCCCGAATATATATAGAATCTATTTCGTTCCGCACTAATTTCCAGTACGACCTCATACAGTTCGGTATAGTTTTTCAGTACTATTCGATTCCTAAATAATTAACTCCCACAAAGTAAAAAATATTTTAGTATGTAACATTTATTTTTTTAAGTAAAGCTTTTAACGTTTATAAGCAAGTAATTGTCCAAAAGTTTAAGAGATCGATGAAGGGACTGCACGATTGAGAAATAAATATAGCACACTAGATTATTAAAATCATTGCAATAGAATTGAATTTAAGAACATATGAAACCTAACTGAAATACAAAATTAATAGTCAAATTATACAATAAAATTATAGTTCTGGTCTTCTGGAAGATGCAAAGCAGCTGAGGTTGTTGACAAAGTAAATCAACTAGGTTTACATGTTGCGTATCATAGTTATTACTAGTACTCCTTATTATTTATTAAATTTAGTACGCATAATAATTGCATTGGGTGCAAAGTGTGCATTATGCAGTCTATAGCAAAATTTTGAGTAACCACAATGTAGATTATTGACTAATATAACAAATAATTTAATATATACGGAATATATATTATTTAGTAAAATCAATTTTTCAGGATGATAGGAGACGGTTCGGGATGGTTTGGTTCAATAATACGGAGTACGATTATGAGACGGTTCTAGAATGGTTCTCACTTAAGAACCGGTACCGTACCATATTATTAAAAAAATCGGTACGATATGGTTCGCTCGGTTCCGGTACAGTTTGGGACGATTCTCGGTATGGAAAGGGAAATCTCAGATCTGTGCTTAGTCCAATTACTATCGTTCTTAAATACTCCGTAGATGACAACATTAGAAAATTTATATTATTCATGATGTTTACTTTGATTATATTTTATTTACAAATGCATTAAAAATTATATTTATTTTCTAAATTATACATTAGAATAAAATTATACTCCATCCGTCTTTTAAAACTTTGTCAACTTTCCTTTTTTGGATGTTCCATTAACTTTGCTACTTTACACTTTAAGTAAAGAATTTGTGGTTCCAGTCAATTCCCTCTCTTATACACAAACTATATCACACAGTTTTTACTTTATTAATCCGTATACCGATTAAACTTGACAAAGTTTTAAGGGACATGTGGAGTATTTATTTTTAATTTTCAAAATATGATTTTTTTAAAGTTTTTACAAATATAGAAAATTAAATATATTAATGATCTAAGTTTAAGTTATGAAACATGAAAATGGAAGCATGACAACTACAACATGATGGAGGGAGTATTTTTGAATGGACAAGCAATTAACGAAGTTGGTGACGCATCATAATTGTACTCGCTCCTTGTGACTTTAACGGAATAGTTTCACATATACGGAATATCACATAGGGTGATTGACGAAACAGGGTAGGATCTTTGCAGACCATTCCAAATGGTGTAGATTCTGGTCTGCAGACCATTCCAAAGACTCAACATATTTGGTGAATATGTTCAATAGATATCTCTGAATTTTTATTAAAAAAGATCGAAGTCAGAGAACATATTTGGTGAATATGTTCAATGGATTTCTATTTAAAAAGAAGAAGAAGTCAGTGAACGTATTTGGCGAATATGTTCAACAGTTTTCGATTAAAAAAAATCAAGCAACATATTTGGTGAATATGTTAAACGATTTCCGAAAAAAAGAGGTTTGAATAGATTTAGTTAACAATGCTTTATTTATTTCTTCCCACATTTCACGAAAATTATACACTACAATCTACTGAAATGAAAATTTATATATTCTGAATTGAAATATTTATTGAAATGATAAGAAACAACTTGTTATTAAAAACTTAAAAAGTACAATTCCTTCATAAGAAATTATTAAAAACGCTGAAATATTAAAAATACATGAAATCATTGTTGTCCTCTTCTTCTGCTTGGACGCATATCCATCTCATTTTGAAACCTCGTTTCTTGACGACGCCCCACTCGAGAAGTTCGTGATAAATATTTTGGCGGTAAAAGATGGATCCCAATATCAGGCCACTCATTCATATTTGGTAAAGGCATAATATCACCAGCATGTGCATTAATGTAAGAGGTCAGTTTATAGACTTCCGGAATAAGTTGATTGACAGGGCGGTCGAGGAAGAGACACACAGCATGCACGTAGCTGCATGGCATCCAGTTCATCCTCCAGCAGCCACAATCACAGTCGCTCCTTGAAAAATCTACCGTAACCGGAGTTGCATTTTCTATGACTACTGAGAAAACTCCACTGTGATAATTGTGCGGGATTACAACAGTGTGACGCCTTTGTTGCCATCCATCCATAATCTGCTTCCGGATTTTTTGCGGAAATTGATATCCACTTTGATTCCACATCATACCAGCATTACGTCGTTCTACAAAGAGCTGAACAGATTTATCGAAAGTTGCTCTCACAAGTGCTGTAATCGGAAGCGTTCTACATCCTTTTAGGGAATGGTTAAAACTTTCAGATAGATTGGTCGTTAAAATTCCATAACGACATCCACCATCAAAACAAAGTGCCCACTTCTCTTTAGGAATGGCATCAAGATAGTTGAATGCTCTTTCATTAGCACCCCGTATTTGTTGCATGTAGTTAGTAAATTCATTTAGAATGGGAGTACTTCCGGCACGCCAACACAATTTTTTGAGATTCTTGCTTCGAAATTGGGACATAAAATTACTTTGAATGTGTCGAAGACAATATCGCCTCTGAATTAGAGGTGTTCCCAATTGTGGCACATTCCGGAACGCACAATCAATCGCGACATGTCGGTCAGATATTATGCAAACATTCCGACGCGGAGGAATAATATTTGTCGCAACTAACTGTAAAAACCACGTCCAACTATCCCCGTTTTCGCTATCTACCACCCCAAAAGCTAGAGGAAAGATTTCACGGTTAGCATTCATTGCCACCGCGACCAACAAAGTGCCTTTGTACTTACCGTACAAATGTGTACCATCAATGGAAATGACCGGAAGACAATGATTGAAACCATCAATCGCTGCCTTGATTGACCAAAAAGCGTACTTAAATTCATACGTACCTTGTGTATCGGTTTGGTCTGTTCGTAGGTCAACAATGGTGCCTGGATTACTAAATGCCATACCTTGTAGAAGTTTTGGGAGATCGTTGTACGCTGCCTCCCAATTGCCAAACCGTTTCTCCAATGCCAAGATTCGAGCATACCATGCTTTCTTGTAACCCACGTGGATGTTGAACTTCCGTTGTATGTCATGCATGATTAGCTTTACACTATAATCGGGCTTAACAAAAATCTTGGAGCTTATTTCAGAGGCAATTAACTTACTCGTGAGCAGTTTATCATTCTTACCTCGTGTGTAGTTGGGAATGCAATGCAGTGGAAGAACCCGTTGGGGTCGAACCATTGGCAACCTCTCCCATGCCCAAAGTTGTAAAAGGATTAAACATCCTCCAATCGAAGATGTGTCCGCCTTCGCCGCTTCACATAAGTTGTGGTACAGAAATGCCAACACAGCTGAGCCCCAACTCCACCTAGTCAAATTCTCTACATTGTCATGCAACAACTCAAGAAAGTAAAGTGACGCTCTACCGGAAGTGCTAGGGAACAACAACCCACTGAGCAACTGTCAAATCAACGTTTTAGTATGTTGAATAACTTCAATGTCAGTGCTCCACGGTGACAACAAAAAGCGCTGAATGGCTAGATTTCTAATGCTGTTGGATGATATTATATCTTTTTCAAATGGTCTGAAACCAAGATAATCATCACACATTTGGACCCATTCAGTCTTACTATGTGCCGTCGGACCAGTAAGTGGGAGACCATCAATCGGTAACCCCAGCAGCACCTGTACATCTTGCAAGGTAATGCCGACCTCGCCAAAAGGTAAATGGAAAGAATGTGTTTCTGGTCTCCACCTCTCAACCAATGCAGTGATAAGACCGTGATCAATTTTGATTTGTACTACTCGTTCAGCTCCTTGAAAGCCTGATGCCCTCAGCAGTTGTACGACTCTAGGATCACGTTCGCCATCGTCTTTGGCGGATTTGGGGTAAGTAATGCACCTCAATTTTAGGTCTCTCGACTCTTCAGTTTTCCACACATTATCGGCACGATGTTCTCCAGGTTTCATTACCAATACAGAACGTTTTATGGGCCCGGGATGGGGGTGCTCTCTTTGTGTAGCCATGAAAACCTAAAAGTATATTATTAAATTAATTCCAAATCAACACTCCTATTTGTAATACTTTGTGCGTAATTACAAATTTAATTAAACAACACTATTTATAATACAAATTATATATGTAATTAAACAACACTACTTATAATACAATTTGTAATACAAATAAATACACCTAATTAAAAAACAACATATTTCGTTAACTATAGACTAATACTATACATTATTTTTTCGTTAATTATCACAACTTATAGACTAATTTCTACACCAAAATAGGAAAAATTACTACAAACTTTAAACTAAAGGTGGGCAAAATTTTCCAAAAAGGTTAGCATGCATATTACTAAATTTATACATACATACATATAACACTAATCTTTCATATTTGGTAAATAAACTAAAATTTCGCAAGTTTCCTATTTCACTTTTTTGTTTAGGTTCCTAATTCACAATTACAAATTAACACTATTATAGAATAATTTCATTCCTAAATTACTAACTTTAATTATTACCTAAATTAACCATTAAATTGGAAAAACTTAATTACTTTATTAATAAATTTGGAGAAGGAGTTGACCTAAAGTAACATAACGTTAACTAATTTGGAGAAGATATAACTTAATGTTAAATTACTTAACGTTAATTAATTTCATTCCTACTTTTATAAAGTAACAAATTAAATTAAACTAAAAATATTAAAGAAGAACTTACTTGGGTTAAGATGAAGGAGATGGCCAAAATTTGGAGAAGTTAGAAGACAGATTGGAACCGTGAGATGGGGTTGTGAGGTGAGGTTTGTGGTGG